CATCTAGGTCGAACCGCAGTGAAACTCGGCCGAAACTCGGTCTGATTGACTCTGACAGACATTTCTTAAGATGTTTTCGATTTGATTATTGTGTTGCCGTTCTCAGCTGTTCATAACATTCTATCGGTCAACGGCAACCGAACCGGCAGTGTCAGGTTATTTCTGGACAGTTATATGTATGCAAATAAAAGGTAAGAAAGTCTTTCTTCTTTATATCAAAAAATTTATTTCTATACATTATATTATGATTTACAAATATATACAGTCTAGTCTAAATATCAGGGGCCGGCAGGGGTCGAACAACCGGCCCCAGGTCCTTTCCTGTCGAGATGTCAATATTTTTAAACATTCCTATTCATGTCCTCTTTCTGAATGGCGAAGACAGCAGCAGAATAAATCACGAAGTCTTTGACGAAATTTTCTTCTCCCCTTTTTATCTGCTTTAACACTCTTGTTCTTAGTCTTAGTTTTCTTATCTTCAACCTCCTTCGTGCTGTCAGTTTTCTTTGTCATAAAGCCACTACTACTTGTTACAACAAATTCCTCTGTAAAAGAGTTCATGCAAAATACATCAGGTCGTATATAGCGTAAAACTTTATTTCATACGGACACATCTCTTAAGCTCAAAGCCCGTTACCTATGGGGGAGATTCAAAACATTGGCCTCACCCAAAATTTCAATTTACCAAACTTTTAAACTTACCAAAATGGTCTTCATGATCTTCCATTTGACATTTCCGATTTGACGTTCCTGGGGTTTCTGACTCTATGACATTTCCAGAAACGACAACGTGATGCCTGTAAGAATCGTCATCATCGTTTCTGTTTGATATAAAAACTTTTGCATTTACGTGAGGAACAACTGGAGGCATTTCACCATCAGGTAATTCACTCTAGGAAAACGAACGTCATTGTTAATTATTTCCAGTATTCTGTTTCAAACCTTTACTACCAGCCTTACGATTTTTTACGGCGTCGGGTGCCGCAACCCTTCGATTGATGTTATCATTTGGGGGACCATACCTAAGCAGTTAAGGGGATCGAGTGCAGTTTTTTGGTTAACAGGAAAACAATAAAGAATAAGCATTATTTTATTACCTCATCGCCTGTATTTCCTGTATCCTCAACACTGTTCATTTCAGGAATTATAACATCTGAATCACGAGAGATTTCCTTCTCACTGATCACTACTGGATCATTCGTAGATTCCTGTTTCAATGGCAAAGCACTTTCAAAGTCAGACCGAGGCTTCTCGAGACATGAAGACGCGACGGCACTCAACACCTGGGTGGGGTCAGCCTCAGCACCCGGCACGTCGCAAACGTTTATCTCTTGCACACTGAGACTGGTCTGACTACAGGATTTAACACAGTCATTGCCACTGAGGTCATCGACGGATTCTTTCTCGCCGGTGATTTTCGTTTCACTTTCAACCGTCGGTAATTTAGTTTGTTCTCCCTCACGACAAAGTGCAACGATAAGTTCAGGAGTGGTCAGCAACGAAGGTTGGTGATCAGTTTCATTGTCCAGCTCTCCAGCATGAGGACATTCGCTTTCTGCATTAATAAATTGATCGTCACAACTTTCATTACAGAAGCCAGGGAGTGGTTCATCAGGGAGACTTTTATCCACGCTTTCTTCGTCAAGAGATTTCATTTCATTGTCTCCCTTAATGTCATTCTCACGAGGTTCTTCGAAACCTTTTTCAAAATAAATGAAATATATTTTAACATAAAACCACGGATACGACACAATTAGCGTTTCTCACGATGACGTTTTGGGGTTTTCTGAAATCGATTTAAACATTATGATTTAACATGAAAAACAATTCTTTTAGAATCAACAAACCATTTGAAGAATGTGACGTGGCCGTTAGGAAGTCTAACCACTGTGGTCTCACGCTTGCAGTTTTGAAAAAAACTACGCCAAAAATGGCGGCATATTAATATGTCAAAAGTTAGCGCGCGCGAATTCACTTGGCGAATGAAATTGATGACGTGATAGTTAACGTTAGCGCGCGCGCGAGTCAATGGCGCGAGTTCACTGGCGCGCGCAAATGGCGAATTGATGAAGTAGTTGCTAGGCAATTAATTATTGCTAGGCAACTACTTTGTTTGCCTAGCAACTAATTACATAAAAATTTAATTCAAATGAATTTGCGTAAAATATACGCCGTAAATCATCGCAAATCTGCAAATTAAATTATTAAAATATTTAGAAATTTATTCTTACCTTCTCCCTGGTCTTTCTTTCCACTATCTTGGAGTTTGTTGTTGTTCATTTCCTCTTCGATCAAGATTTTCTTAGCATTGTTTATCAAAGAGAAGACGTAGTTTTGTATTTGTAGAAATTCTAGAAGCGGTGGCTGATACTTTCTTCCAGAGTATTTATCCAACCGATATCGATTTTGATTACTCGCCATTTTAAAAGAATTTTCACGCGTAAAAAGTAGTGTTTTCACTTGCGCAGTCAGTCAATTATGACAAAGCTAATTATTGCGTCAAATCTTTTTACGCCATCGCGTCCGCGCAAAGCATTGTAGTAATTAATTATGGCACTGACCGCAATTAGATATAAAAAGAGGCATTTCATTTATTTTTTTACTGTTCCAGATTGCTAAACAGTATTTCTTAATATATAATTTGAAAACAATTTTCCTCAGTGAACTAAACTCAACTTGAATTTTTGTATTTGCATCAATCTAGGTAGAATGTGCATGGTAGATACAAAGTTACTGACCCAAATGTTTGAGGCAAAACTAGCAATTCAACCAAGGAAATATTTTCTAATCTCCTTGTTCCAAGATCTTTTTTAAATGCATCAGAAAAAGTAGTTCCTAAAATATAATTCATGCGGGATTGCATTCACCTAGTCCAAAATGATAGTTATGCTGTAAGATCTTACTATGAACCTATGAACCTTTAATACCATGATCCAAAAGGAAGTTACTAAATCCTATACTCCAACGTCTTTCTACAATTCTATAGCATCTTATCACAATGTTACAAAACTTAATAATTTTAACATTAAAGATCTTATCATGATCCTAAATGTCTTAGCATGATCCTGTAAGATGCTGGGATGACGTTTAAGATCTTACCATGATTCTAAATATCTTACCATAATACCGTGAGATCTTACGAAACATGCACCAACAGGACTCATCTCAAAATCCGACAGTATCGTGGATGATCCTATAGGACCTTGTCATGTTGTTAAAGATCTTACTATGATGGAACAATAACCTTTCAAGATCTTGGGAAGTGAATTGATTTTTTACATACATGTCTAGAAATAACCTAACAAAAACCGCGGTTAACCTAGGTCAAATCCCGGTCTGATCACGGTTGATCCGAGGTCAGACAGAGGTCCAACTGCGGTGAGACGGAGGTTAAACCCCGGCCTAACTCGGTCTGACAGACACTGCAGTTTCTATCGCTCGACCGCAACCGAACCGCGACCGAACCACGACTGAACCGCAACCGAACCGCAACCGCAACTGGACAGTACTGTCTTCTATAAAACTTGAATAGGACTAAACATGCAAATGAAAGAATCTGTCAGGAAATAGGGACAATAATGCCAATAGGCGCGGCGCGACAAAATAGGCTAGAATCGACCAAAAGAGGAGCGACTCCAGGATCGCCCAGTTGTTAATATCGTTAACTATGTTCTGTAAGTTACTCTTGGAAGGGCGTGATATACTTTCTGCGACTGTGCAATCGTCACGACTGTGCAATCGACAGACCGTACAACTTCCTTGTTATTTACCGGGGAAGCTGATTATTTGAGCCGTCATCAAGGAAATTTGGTAACCCAGACCATAGACAATCCAAAAGACAGGGACTGGAAACGCTGTGAAAAAAGCAGCGATGCTGGCGTGCAATCCGTGATGCGCCTAAATGGCTATTTCTGTTTCCCCTACTCTGAACCCTAGAACTCGAGTTTGAATAAAGTCCAGGCTTCCTAATTTACATCTTTTGAACAAAAATAGACCCTTGGGTGCACTTAACCGAATTTTAAGCATATATTGGGTCAAACAGAACTAAAAACCTCCTTTGAGTGGTTGGGTATTGTTTTTGTCTGTAAAACATCGCCATTGTTGTTGTCAAAGTTTGTACTTACTTCGAACCCTGTAACTACAGTTTTAGTACACTTCAGGCTTTGTCATTTACATCTTTTTAATAAAGATAAACATGTGGATGCACTTAACCGATTTTTAAACCTATATTGGTCAAACAGAGCCAAAAAACCTCTTTCAATGCTTGCGTAATATTTTTGACTGTAAAAACCGAGTCGCCATTGTTTTCGTCAAAATTTGCACTCATTTCGAACCCTGTAACTATAGTTTCAATGCACTTCAGGCTTTGTAATTTATATCTTTTGAACAAATATAAATCTGTGGATGCACTTATCCGGTTTTTAAACCTATATTGGGTCAAACAGAGCCGAAAAACCTCGTTTGAATGCTTGCGTAATGTTTTTGACTTTAAAATTAAGTCGCCATTGATGTCGCTGCTGAGTGCTGTCCGCATCACGGATTACGCGCAAAGAAACAATAGCGTTTCCAGTCCCTGTCTTTTGGATTGTCTATGCCCAGACCCAGTTGACCCAGTACCATCTGGACTAGTGTCCTAGAACTTAAAAATACTGGGAACAATACCAAACATTTCATAGTTATTCTGTTGAGTTTTGTTAAAAAAAAAAGAAAAAAAGAGAGTGATGTAGTCATTGACATGTTAATAGGCGAGTATGTAAAATTCAAAGAGTGTGTTTGATTATTTCACTGGTTGTTACTTTAATTTATAATTTTTAGCTATTGACATATGACATGAACGATTTAACCTTATAAATTGAATAAAAACAATTCGTGTTAGTAACTTAGTAATAATTTCAAGATATCGCGAGAAATTTGTCGATGATCGCATTGATGTTGACAAAAAAGCGTACACTCATTTTTGCCACGTTTACTCGTACCCATTTCCCCACCTGAATCGCTCGTTCATGGTGGTCGAATGAACGGTTTATTGTGTCTGTAAATTTATTTTGCTGTTTTTTCCCGGACAAGATCGCGCGATCTTTGATATAAAGTGAGGCGGGGATTATTGATAAGTGTTGTCGTTGCTGCGTCGTCGGGTTTTATGCCTCTAGTTGCAGACAAGGTATATTTTGAAATTGTATTGTATCGTAATTTTTTGTGTCAGTATATATATATTTGGTGTCGTTTCAACTGGTGACATACTATTTGATAAAATAGGAGATTTCTATATGAAGTAAGTTGGAAAAGATAATTTCATTTCTCAATAGAGGATATTGCAGTTTGTGTTGTGAAATCAATGAGTTTGCATTGAAATATTTGTATTGGTGCCACCACTGTACTGTATACATGCAATATGAATATATAAACTGCTTATCTTTTCATCAATAGAAGGTCATATAATGTGGTTGCTTATTACTAAATATGTGGAACACTATAGATCCACTTTGCGTTGTTGGATTTCTATATTGTATAGCACTGCCTGGAAAACATGACCGCCAATAGAAATTAGGAGGGTTGGAAATCAAGTTAAAAATCACTCGATATGAGAAGCGCATGCAAGTGGTTTGTGCCACATGCAAATGATGTTCCCTAGTGGTTATTACTATTAGCCTTTCTCACAACGACGAATATCCACCATTTTTGGGGTACTTTCCAAAAATGGCGGTACATTCGTGATTCGTCATTGTGAGAAAAGCTAATTGATATTCTCATGTTTTTCTCCACTCACTTAATTTTATTGGAGCCCAATTTGGATACATATAAAAAGACCATCTGCATATATATGTAAATAATGTAATATAGGATGGGTAGAAGTAGAAATTGATCTTATTGATTATTCTTCCTGGATTATCCCAAAAAAGTATTAGAACTCAAGCATAGATCTTGTGATAGAAATGTAGCTTTATATATTATAGATTAAGTGCCTAATGAGCTGTGAAATGATTGGAAAGATTAATATTTGTGCTTAGCCATGAAATTGGTTAAACATTTAAATTGTGTGATTTACAATAATATGACATTCACATACAATACCTTCACCGTGCTCCATCAAAGCATTAACTGTTTTTTGTTATTTCATAGGGAGACTTAACTAGGTTTTAAACAACATTATTCAAAAATGAAGGTGAAGGAAATTGCCAGAACAGCGAATATTGCATGGAGTCCTGCATCCCATCATCCAATATATCTTGCAGCAGGAACTGCAGCACAGCAACTAGATGCCACATTTAGGTAAGCCAAACTTTTAAAAGAAATTAATCATATTTTCCTCATGATCTTATTGAGTATGCACTGTGGCCCCAGTTACACAATACTGAAATGATCTGAAAAATTATCTGTGTAATTGCTCTATCAAGAATATAATATGTTTAGCGGGAAAAATAAATTGACATCAAATGCTTGCAAACCTTACCAATTCCAAAATTTCCTTTTCTATTTCGAATCAATCCGATATTGTCTAATCAAGACAAATGTGATACCATATGTATATTTAATCAACATAGATAATCTGACTCAAAAACCTGGTATCTGGTTTTGTGTAACAGGGCCTACAGGGGCGTGTATATGCTGAAGCTTATTGGAATTGATTGAATTATATATGCTACATAGTAGTGTCAATAATTACTCAAACATTTCTTTCATCAATATTATTTTTCTATAAAGCACCACAGCAGCCTTGGAGATTTTTGCTCTTGATCTTACAAGCGGTGACAGAGAAATGCCTGTGAAAGGCAAACTTTCTTCTGAGCACAGGTATATTCTACAATGTAATGTTCATCTACATATATATGTAACCTATATTACTGAAATTGTGTAAGAACAATGGTGTAAAACGTGTAGCAACCACCGAATAGCAACCAACACATCAAAATACAATACCATGAAATAAGAATGCAGTGTTAACTAATTGTTTAAATATAGATTTGTTGTAGCACCAGACTTACTAGGCAGAAATCAATGCTAAAATTAGATAAATACAGTATGTCAACTAACCCCTTTACTTGTTTCAGGACTTCTTAAAATGTGGTGGTTCTTTTTTCAGTTTAAAGCAACTGCCAGCTGCCCTCAGGCTATTTTCGAACTTACTTTTTCTGTTACTACTAGAGCTAGAATACCCTCACTATTTTTTTGTTTACTTTTTTTCTACATGTAAATGTTCCCCTGAGATGTTCACAAGTCACTATGTTGAACTTTTAGGTTCAATAAATTAGTCTGGGGTACATATGGTATGGAGAAAGAAGAAACACCCAACGGGATATTGGTTGGTGGAACCGACAGTGGTGATTTGGTTATGTGGAATCCTTTGAAAATACTGAATGGAGAGATAGAAGATGCGGTCTTGTTTCAAAGTGATAAACATACAGGTATTTCTGTAAATATTTTCTTGTAAATGTAATACAATATATTACTCCTTAAATTAGAAGTCTTATAGTTACTATTCAAGAGACTTCTGATAATACATCAGTGTTACAAAGTTTGCAGAGTCAAAAAATCACGTGGTGAAAGTTACTCAAATCACGTGGTGAAAGTTACGTGAACTTGCATCACCCACTTTGTTTGCGCATACTCGTCGGTACGGTACTTGCGAGTTGAAAGTCAGGTCTCAGAGTATTTTAAACACAAAACCCCAAATCTTCATTTTAAAATAACAAAAACCAGTGTGGTGAAGACTATGGCTATTTGCACACGGTAACGTTATCGAGCGTTTTCACATTCGTTTTCACGCCAAAACGGTTTGCTTTCACGATTCAACATGTATTCTTTTCCTGACGTCTGTTTCAGTAAAAATGGTACATATTTTAATACAAAATACAGAGATTTTTCATATATTCTTTTCCTGACGTCTGTTTCAGTAAAAATTGTATATATTTTAATACAAAATACAGAGATTTCTCCAGGGTGGTATACAAAACACAGGACAGAGACGCTGCGACTACGAAATCTATGCCTACGAGATTGTATTTTCTGCTGAAAGCTTTTTATATTACGAGGTTTGGTGCAACAGTTTTTAAACAGATGGATTGTGTAAACTGAAAGACAATACAAACCTGGAGCAGCAGATTTTTAAAAAGAATCTCGCAGTCGCGGATCTAAAGCTCCATATTGTGTCTGTTCTTTGGCTACCAGATTCATAATTATATTTCCTCAAAATTCACTTTAGGTGCTGTGCAAGCGCTGGATCTCAATCCATTTCAACCAAACCTCATTGCCTCAGGTGCTTCTGATTCTGAAATCTACGTGTGGGATCTTAAATCCCCAGACAATCCCCACTCACCTGGAGCTAAATCACTCCCCCCTGATAATATAAGTTGTCTGGGATGGAACAGACAAGTTACGCATATCCTTGCGTCAACATCACCCTGCGGACGCTGTGTAGTGTGGGACCTGAGGAAAAACGAGCCCATTATTAAAGTCAGCGACCAAGGATCCATGGTTAGTAGAAGACGTTTGTCGTCCGAATTACTTTTAAATGTTCAAACCAGTATATTTTGGATTTTATTTAAAAAAAAAGATGTACATATGTAATGAAATGGTTTTCATTGAGATTACTGTAGATTTAACGCTTTAGTTAAATCTCAGGGCTCTGTAACCAGCAAATGACACTCTTAATGAATATATAATCTGTGTTTCTCCAAGGCTCGTTTGAAAGCTATAGAATGGCATCCAGAAGTGGCAACGCAGATGGTTCTCGCTTCTGAAGACGATAGATGTCCTGTCATTCAGGTAAACCCTTTGGTCACTTAATTGTGAACCGCTATATGTGTTCAGTGTGCAAGTATATAAATATATCATTTTAAATAACCCAAACTCGTCTGTACCATGTTGGTATGTGTGTTTTACACATTGGCTCTATTACAAAGCATCACCAGTTGAGGCTTTTCAGGATGATTTGTTTTAGCCGTATTCGGTGATCAGAATCGATGATACACCTTTCTCACGATGACGTTTTTGGGGTACTTTCTTAAGTTTCGTAAATGGGTTGAAAAAATTATAACAGCATGAAAAGCAATTTTTTGTAGTCAACAGACCATTTGAAGAACAAATTCAGCCTTAAATTAAGACACTCGTCGTTACGAGATCTCACGCTCACGATTTTGAAAAAAAGTACCCCAAAAATGGCGGAATACTCGTCATCGTGAGAAGGGCTGATTGAAAAATCATCGGACTGAGCCATAGAACTGGTGAGATGACTAAACGACTGACCTTTCTTTTCAGATGTGGGATCTTAGATACGCAACATCGCCAATGAAAGTACTCGAGAGACATCAAAGGTAGTGTATGTAGAAAATGCGGTGAATGTCGGTTTATCTTTTGCTAAAACCGCTACACGCTAAGGACTGTGCGGTTTTTTCTTTAATCCGTCAGGAGAAAGCAATAACCAATATATGCATGTCTATATGATATAAACAAATGTTATTACTCTTTATAGAGGTGTTCTGTCAATCGCTTGGTGTCCACAGGACCCTGAACTTCTCATGAGTTGTGGCAAGGTCAGGGCTTCAGTTAATTCCTCAGTCATTTTCTTTTTATTTGTATTATATTTTATCAGTTTTTCTGTGTTACTTCAAGTAAAAAGTCGGACTGTATTTTTAGGATAGCCGAATTCTTTGTTGGAACCCCAGCAGCAATGATCCACGAGGAGAGGTATGTTTGATTTGTTATAATCGCTTTTCTGTGTGGACTTTCGAAGGCAAATTATTCAATATTATTTATTTCAATGTTAGCAGTTCCAATGTACTGTACACTGTTAGTAGTTCTGATGCTCCATATGTCATGACAAATTATGTTAAATTAAGTCAAGCTGCAGAACTAGTTTATCTTGGTCTAGGTTGTGTACGAGTTACCATGCCCTGCTCAATGGAGTTTTGACGTGAAATGGTGTCCACGAAACCCGAATATGATTTCTACACCTTCTTTTGACGGCCACATTAGTGTTTACTCCCTGATGGGTGGTGGTGTTGCTGATCACAGTGGAATTGACCAGAAGGTAAGTCACTATGGTGAAGATGATGGTGTTGATTAATGCAGTCGTAATGGTTGTGGTCTTTATTCCAAAACCAGCGAGGATGGATTAACCGTGGGCTTGGTGTCATTTTTTTTGGATTTTGTTACTTGGGAATTAAGAGTCTTTTTGAGCACGTGCTCCAGGCAACAGCTTAATTATCATCTCATTCTCCAATTTTTAAACACATGTTCTATTTGTAGATGGTGAATGATGCATTCAATATTAATGATCCGTTCGCAAGCTCAGTTCAACACCAACCTTCGGAACAGGTTCCTGTAGCCGCAACTCTCAAGAAACCACCGAAGTGGCTGAGAAGACCCTGCGGTGCTTCATTTGGGGTGAGCTGTTTTATAATGCAAACATAATGCTCTAACAATGGAATGAATATTATCTTGGTGTTGTAGCTATATAACATTGCGTTTCTACTAGCACTCAACCTTTTGTTAATGTTGATTTGCCGTGGCAAATTTCTCCGCAAGCTATCATGAACTTAAAAAAGGAACATTAGAAAGGATACTAAGAAAACTTGTACTATCTACAACTTGAACTTTGAACACAGTATGATTGATCTTTTGTTTGCAGTTTGGCGGCAAGTTGATTTCCTTTGGAAAGACAGCTGAGGCGCCGATTTCTAAGGTAAAAATCGTGCTTTTTCCCAGCTTTTATGATGAATAGAATAATTTTCTATAAGCCATGTGTTCACAACTTGTGTTAAGAATATTCATCATCCACACTTATAATATCAAATAAGTTTAGCGCTGTTTTTTCTCAAGAGATTTGATAATATGAATCGCTTTCATGAATCATGGTTAGGTATGGATAGGGTTGAGAAATATGTAAAATTATCGTTTTTATATGCTACATACTTAATATTAAAAGAGCACAGCTTTGTTCTAGTCAAAAGATCTGGTTAGGTATAGGGTTAGAGAGAGTAGCATCCACTGAGGTAGTACATTAATAATCGTGTTCGTATGCTAATCATGGTTTAATTTGTCACTCTAGGTCAATGTAAGTCAGGTGGTAACAGAAGAAGATCTCGTCAACCGATCAAATTTATTGGAGGGGGCTCTGGCATCAGCAAGTTTTGCTGAGTTTTGTCGTACTAAGATTGAGAGCGGTTCCGAGGGTCTCGATTCTACTCTGTGGAATTTCTTGAAGGTAGTACTAGAACTAAACTGTATATCAGCTTTAATCTGTTCTCCTAGTAGCTACTTCTGTAAAGGTAACTTACTTCTCATTCCAATAACGAAAATTTTTTATTTTCTTTATCAGGTGAATTTCGAAGGCGAGCCGAGAAAACAGTTTCTCACGTTATTGGGTTACGACCCAAACAACTTGGCTAAAAAGGTAAGCATTTTCAATGCCAGTTTACGGAGGAAAATTTCCGCTGGAAAAAGTTCAACTTTCGTCGGAACAGGAATATTTTTGAACGAAATTTGAATAGATTCCACTGCGCATGCGGTGCGCAAAAAATCCTCCGTTCCGAGGAAATTTTTTGGTGTGTAAGCTGCTTATTGATAGCAGCTGTCATTATTGATATAAACCTGTCATTTTTAGATTGCTGCCAAAATGGGAGACATGCCCTCAACAACTCAGGGTGTTGATGCAGCAGTACTCGCTCAAAAAATAAAACACTTGCAATTACCGGTAAGAAACACTGCGAATACTAATATATATTACACGAAATAATCTCTGCTGCGGAGTTGCAAACTTCAAAAACAATAGACCTTTCCCTTTTAGCTTCGCGCAATTCGTGACGGCAGTTGATTATCAAAGTAAATTTGAGTTGTGATTTCACCATGCTTTCACCATGCACTCATGATTTCACCATGTTGTGCTTTCACCATGTTCAGGAGCGATTTAGTTTAACCACGTGGTTTAACAAAGTTGCTCAAAGGTGAAAGGTCTATTGTTCACTCCCTAAAAAATACAGTATAAAGGCGGTATTCCACTTAGCGAAATCTTTCGATCAGGCAAAACTTCTCCCTTGGCTTAGCCTTGGAAATGCTCGCCGGAAGCAACAAAGAAGTGAATGGGATTTAGGATTGAGTAGAAACGCTGAAAGTCGATGTTTAATAACATTACCATATTTATTTTTATACAGAGCTCCACCGGTGAAAGTGGAAGTAGTGACAGTGCCGATATATTTTCTGGTGGAGCGTTGACACCTTCTGTACCGGATGATCAAGCAAAGGTGAAAGACGATTTTAGTAAAATTCTTGATTCTTCCTTTGACGTTTCTTTGAAGGGTACTTTATGTAGCTAGTAATTAGACGATCTTCTTTCTCCAATAGACCTTATGCATAATGACTTATTAAACAGTGACGCCTGCAGGGAATTCTGGTTTTAGTAGTCACGGCAAATAATTCAAACTTCAAAATTTCCCGCCGTGACTACTAAAACCAGAATTCCCTGCAGGTGTCACGGCTTTGTTACGTCATCATGCATATTCTATAGGTCTATTTAAATCTGATTCCATGCAAGATTTCACAAACCGTAGCAAAAGTGCACAACACTCATCACTCTCCGCAGATTTTGTGGTTTTGTGGTTGAGTTTTAAGATAAATCACGTGGATAAGGAGTAGTTTTTATCCTTATTGGGTTTTAGATTTTATTCTAGCTTACACTCTAATAGTTTTGTGAAACAGGTTTATTTCTAATATTCAGACTCCTGTGACCGATGGAATGGATGCAAGTCTTGTGTTCGACGCTATTTCATCAGGAACATTAGACACTTCAGGTAAATTTCAAACAAAGCAAATTCTCATGCATGGAATTTTGTTGTTGTTGTAGTAATTTGGTTATTTTCCGCAAATATAGGTGATGGCGGTGAAATACGAATCACAACACCATTTTCTATCCCAACAGACGATGGTATGTGTTTTAAATTTACGGGTTGGGTTAATGTAATATTATACAGACTCTGCCCTTCTGATAAGTACGTACAACGTCACCCTTATAAAAGAAACAGTTTTATAAAATAAGATGTATATATTCACTTCTCTTTCGACTCAAAATTAGCCGAGGTTGCTCTGTTTTCTACCTGGCTTGCGTCGCTAAAAACGTTTGGCATGCTTGCTTGTCTTTTACCCTGCTTCAAGATAACCTAATAAGAAGTATATAACGTGTGTTCTGATTGGTAGAAGCCCGTGTTTGGATCAGGCCATTTGAACACGGAAATTTAATTCACAAACTCTGAACACTACCTTATTGTTGTTATTACTTCTATAAAACATTCGGCTCGTCTTACGCGCGCATTTCTTACCTAACTTTCGCCACATTCCCGCGTCTTTGGATCTCGAGTTTCCAGGATAAATCTAATATCATATAACATGCAGTTGGAAAAAAGCTAAAGAGCATTGATCTAGATTATATTCTCATGCTACATAACATATTTTATTTCCATAGAGAGTGATGGTTTGATCAGTCAGGCTTTGTTGACGGGAAATTTCGAAGCTGCTGTCGAAGTCTGCTTCCACTGTGATAGAATGGTAGGTCCAGTTAACCACGTTCTACTTTCTGCCTGAAATTTCTACCAGTAGCGTAGCCAGCCTGTCGATTTGTCCCGCTATGCTAATATTTTAGTGATCATTGACTGTGAAAACAATAGATTTCTAAAGACATGAATAATTATAATAACTCGAAATTTACATAGCGGGACAAAATCGTCAGGCTGGCTACGCCACTGATTTCTACGGTGCATGGCGAACACATGCAAGGATATTTTGCACGCCAGATTTGAAGAAGCAACTTTTTCTGGGCTTATTACGAGTATAATATTTCATTACATTTACACCTCGTATTCTAGGCTGATGCATTCCTCTTGGCAATAGCTGGTGGACCCGAATTGCTAAAAAAAACTCAACAATTGTATTTCCAAAAGAAGAAAACCAACCTCAAACGAGTATGCTAAATATATTTATATCGATTATATTGGGTGCTTACATGATTCATGAGGGATTAGCCGACCCAGACCCACAGAATTTTACGTCGTTGTCGGCATCTCTATGGTCAGTAAAATTTCGACCATATCTTGGACGATTTTAACAATATCAGATCATTATTGGTCTCGTTCAAAGGAATCTTTAATTTTTTCAGTTAATGTCAGTCGTTGTGAACCGTGATTGGCCAGACGTCGTGAAGAGCTGTAGTCTTGAGAACTGGCGCGAAGCACTCGCCATCTTGGTGACGTATGCAAAACCTGAGGAGTTTGCTCCTCTCTGCGATCTCTTAGGTCAGCGGCTGGAGGCTCAGCAGGACGAGAATAATGCTAATGCTATGGTGTGTTATATCTGCGCAGGAAACGTCGAGAAATTTGTCTCGTGCTGGTATGTATACAGTCTTACATTCATAATAAACTTTCTTCATATAGACATAGTTTCTTTCAACTAGCTTTGTTGTTCCCAATTCACTTCTCTTTCGACTCAAAATTAGCCGAGGTTGCTCTGTTTTTACCCGGCTTGCGTTGCTAAAAACGTTTGCCATGCATGCTTGTCTTTTACCCTGCTGCAAGATAATCTAATAAGATTCTTGAATATGGAAAAAAACATTTCTATTGTTATCTATATAGGTCTAAAACGATGCCGTCTGAACCTTCCCCTCTGGAACTTCAGGTGAGTTTTTTCGCTTGAAAAGTAGCTTAGAATGAACAAAATTTTAAATCTCTAATAAGAATTATCTACAAGCGCGAAAAGTTAGAAGAAAAAAATATTTCAGCAAAAAACCTATCTTGCAGATACAAAGGTTCGTTAAAAGGTAGCCAACTCAAACGTAACTGAATAAATAAAAAATGTTAAAATTGTTATCGTAACCGAGATCAGATTCGAAAAAAAAATATCGACATGTCGCTATCTTTTTTAAACGCGCATCTCATTGTATGCAAATGAAAATAAAGTAAAACATGAAACTAGAGCGAACAGAGATGCAACACTCTGTCATAACTCGGTTACCCTGTCAAAACGTGTCGCTGTTGGAATTTCGCATTGGTGAATATTCTGGTGTAATCGCTGTATAGTTTCCTCTCATTTATTAATCCACAACAGAGACCTTCATAGTGTAAACCTATTCTTAAAACTCTTTAAGTTTTTAAATTCATTTAAAAAAGATTTTATCCCAATTCGGCCGACATTGACATTAGAGAGCTTTAGATTGTACTTTTATTTGGGCCTGGTTTACACTGTCAAAGTTTCTGTGATCACAGCTGCAATTTTGCGTTGTTAAATCCACAGTTAGAAACATTTTGTTCTGAAAATTAGGATGAAATTACTTAGTGTTTATTGGTGTTACAATTCCCTCCAGTGTTTTCAACAAATATTTTTAAACGTAGGACTTGTTGTTTGAAAATTCCAACTGTGATCACAGAAAATTTGATAGTGTAATCCGGACCTTAGTATGCATGTGTTTGAACTGCAAATGTGCTAGTTTTATACATATTTTAAAAATGCATGTTAAGTGAATTGTTTTTTATTGTCGTTGACAGAATCTTATTGAGAAAGTGATGATATTAAAGAAAGCTGTTGAGAAGGAACGACGTCAAGTGGTGCAGGCCACAAACTCCAACGTTTCGGAAATGTTATGGTGAGCCTTAATATGCATTATAAAAGCTTTGTGGTGAATGCCGGTTCTGTTGTATACGTTAGCATATTCCCTCAACACTCTTCACATTTATCTCCAAAATTTATAGCGTTAAATGTACTTTAAGTTTTGTAAAGTATGTTGGAAATTCGTCCAAAATACAATTCCTGCAAATTAAAAAAAAATCAAGTTTTAACTTACTTTTTCATGAAAGTGCTTTGGTACTGTACTTTTGTCTTGTCTTGTATGAATCCTTCTGCGAATTATTCTCTAAATTGTTTCCGTTGAACTGTACTTTTCTTCGTATATTTCAGTAAATATGCTGGTATTTTGGCATCTCAAGGAAGTGTTGAGATTGCGATGGAGTACTTAATGGCAGCTAACGATCAGGTAATGTATGATTCTGTATAAACAGACGGGTTATTTAGCTCGTAACCATCCATGTTTAGCTCTGATTTTAATTCCACTACCAATACCGCTACATTTCCGTAACCTACTGCGCTGGTGATTGGTTAATCTTAAACGATTTTCCTCATTCTGATTGCTTTATATTCCTTAATGTCATTATAGGGGTAGTTTAATTTCGGTTCGGGTAAGGATTACTGCATCAAAATAATCGTCGTAATGAAATGCGTTTGATGATTTTATTCGCGGCGGGTTAAGTTGACACGTAAAAACTAGAGATAAACAATCACAAATACAAACGTAACTAAAAAACCCATAAATGGGAGCACACTAAATTACATTATTACAAAGAATTAATAGTTCGATATATTACCCGGCTCTGTCCCCGAATTAGGCTTCCTGCATGCTTCTCTATACGATACATCTGGTTTCTGTATTTCAACGTTTACGACTTTGATAACTTTAACGTTTCACAATTTCAATAAGACTCTTTTCAACTAACGATTTTGGTCATATAAGTTAATGCTGCATGGTTTAATGAACCAGAATCGATTAGCATATAAACTTTTCCATAATATACACGCTAGATTCGTGCAATATTAGGTAGTAACGTTTGATAATGGAAGTGAAATCTGAACCCCACCAATGACTGCACCAGCCTGGCATGGGTCTCGTTAAAAGTTTTGAGTTTTATGCCATAAATCTTTTCAATTCACATCATTTTAGGAAGATGTGGCTATACTTAGAGACCGGTTGTACCACGCTCAGTATCCCAGTCATGTGACGTCATCCATCAAACCTCCCTCATTCCCCTTCCCTCGCGTTGATGTCAAAGCTGCGCCTGCAGTCCAACCCGAGGTACGTTATTTGAAATTAATGAAACCCACCAATCATGGGAGAAGTACTTCTCAGGTTTGAGGTGTTCCCGAAAACATATATGAGTTCAATACTTCTCTAGTTCTACCTCGCTGTTTAAAATCAGTTGTCTTTTTTACTAAACCTAGATGTTTTGACTAGGGATAGGCAATATAGAGGCCAAATGAATTTCATTTCCCCGTAGTACCAATCTTGAAATTCTCTTCGAATTCAAATCGATCCTAGAAACCTCTGTTTTTTAGGGTGGGGGTTAAGAAACTATTAAACAACTGTTTAACTTTAATATTACCGCACTTTTTCACACAGCAACAACCAACTCAAGCTCAGTCAAGCTTTGCACCACCCCAAGCACAAGAAAATGTATGTACAGACAATGATTATCGTTTTTTTATTTTACATCGGTATCGTATCCGCAGTTGTTTTATAACCAGACTCGATGAAAAGACAATAAAAAGTTGTTTAACTGTTTAATTGTTTAACTTTCATATTTGTGTTTTCCCAACCAATATTTATATGTGGAAGTAAATGGCCCCGTACATCACCATGCACTTTGTGTTTGTTTTAGGCTGGTGGACAACAACCATCTCAAGGTTCAGGCTTTTATAACCCTGGTAGCTACAATCCTACCCAGGTGCCTCCATCACATGCGCCGATTTCGTTACCAGGGCAGCACCAGTTCCCGCCTACGCCATATTACCATGGTAACCAACCTCCTTCCCAGGCCAATGTTGGATATCCATCCCAGCCGAACCCATCCTACGGAGGTAAATGAATATGTATAAATTGAAGATGAACGATGTAAAAAACGAACTAAAAAATTAAACTGTAAACTGTACGCCATTGAATGTGCAGCATTGTATGCGCAGCAACACTTACACTAAAATTTTCTACCTTCATAGGAAATCCTCCACCTATTTCTCAAGGTGCAGCCCCAATGAGTAATCAATCTCCCTCCCCTGTCCGCTACAATGCTCCCCCACCGCCCGCTCCTGGTTCACAAACAGGTTATCCCAGCACTGCCCCTATTCCAGGATACGGTATGTCAAACACCCCAGGCGCTCCTAACTCCTACCCACCACCGCAACCAGGACAGCTAAATCAGCCTCATGCAGGTATGGGATTTTTATATTTTAAATCTAGGAATAAGTATAAATCAATTCACTAGACATGTTTCAGAATTCTTAAGCTTAATCTTTCTGAAGCTTGAAAAATTCAAACCCGGTTTCTTGGACGAACACAACTCCAAAGCAATGTTCTCACCCACTAACCTCCCGGCGAAAATTCGAGCATGTACTGTTAGAGTGGTGCGTACTTTTTTGTTTTATTGACTTGTGATTTTTGATCTGTTTCCCTTTTTGGCTATTTTTCAACTGAAATAAAATTGTATTTTTGGCTGAATGTGCATTTAGCCTAAATCTGACCTAGGTCAGTACATTTTGGCATTTTCAATATGTATTTCCACGTTTTGGAGCATAGCCTAATGATCAAGCATTTACAAAGCATTTAAATCAGAACACACCCATGAACGCTCACTCTAGTTAAAAGTTCGTTCTCTTTCGTTCTCGTGAAAAGTACTAGATATGAAATCGCGGACACTATACATCGGTATCGTGTTATCGACGGCAACGAACAAATGTAAATTAGGCGTCAACATGGCAACAACCGAAGTTCTCGGTTTTAACAAAATCGTTTGAGTGTCGTAGCCTAGGTGACCGTATAATAATTGGTTCTTCGAAAACTTTTCTTAGAATATTCACCTCCTACGTCAACGTGGTCAGCGGATGGCACTCACGCAATCGCCAAGAAACATCAGGTTTGTGTAAAATGTATAATGCATGAACAGTATGTTGCACTAGAGGACGAGGGTTAAGTGTAAATAATTTCTTCATGCTGCCGTACACGAGAGCAAAATTCTAAAAAAAGACATCGCGCGTTGGTTACCTCAGCACGTTTCTGCCCTGTGCAAATGATTCCCTCCTCCGCGGCCCTCGAGAAATCTCGTGTACGCCGTGTTTTAGACTGGGTTTTAATTATCGATTTCGCGGTCAAATTGTAGACACCAAAATTTACACAATAAAGCGATATGTGGCACTAAATCTACAATTGTATGTTTCAGCCAACACACTATACACCACCAGCACCAATAACCATGCCAATATTTAATTCTGCCGAACAGCAACCAGGTCAAACAGGTAATTATGTTTAATTTACGTTCCATTTGTGTCATGTATCGTTTTATAGTCAGTTTAAAACTGTACTGTATGTCAGGCCATTTTAAAAAAAAAGTATATATTCTAAATTTGAGCTTTTGATTTTAGGCAACCCTGCAGGTGGTGCGACCTCAATGGTTCCTCCGGGTAGCGGTGTACCCCCTGGTGCTCCGGGTCCAGTTCAGAATACCCCGGTAGAGAAAGAGGTAAGAAATTATGTTCGAAAAGAAATCTTATTTGTTGAAATAGTATATAATTCTCTTCCAATGTGGGATGGTCCTCAATAGATTCTTTTTTAACGAGTTTAGAGAAGGGGCGACCATTTTGTATACTTTGTTCGAGTATGGTTTAGCAAACAACTCTGTAATTTTATAGGTCTTCTTTTTTTTCAATTTTACATATGTTGATGAAATGCATAATTTGTACGTAATTTTTAGCCAGAACCAGTGAAGGAAGTTATAAAAGGTCCTATCCCAGCCGAACATATTTCGTTACAAGAGGCCTTTGATGGTTTGATCGCCAAGTGTAGAGGAACTGCAATGAACCAGGTATTGTTTTAATTTTTTTGCTCAGGTTAAGATTCCTCACACGGTATAGTATTCAAGAAGATTAATAACTAAACTAGAGCTTGCAGCGACAACTCCACTCGTTTAGGCAGCATTTTTTTATTTAAGATGAAGTGTTATTTAGGATGAACTATTTAAAAAAGTATTTAACCTAAATGATCTAAATGGCTTTTATTAAAGCAATATGCGATATACGCCTGCATTCTAAAAGCTCACTCAAACTCATTGAATGGGAGATCTTAATCTTGTCATAACGTTTTCATGGTCATATTTCCAGTCGAATTGGGGCTTGATTTTTTATTTTTAGTGTTTTACCTTAAATATTTCCACCTATTCAGAAAGAACTTTTTCATTGACCAGCGCTAACATAATCTATTACACTCAGTGAGTGTGAGTGAGCTTTTTGAATACAGACGATACACTCTGTTTAAACATTTGTACGGTTCCTTGTATGGCATTCGTGTAAATTTGAAAATGTAACACACAGCATGGAAACTTTACCGACTGTAAGACATGTAACCCTTATGATGACTCTGGTACCAGTTAACGGAAGATTTTTACACCTGTGTAGCCCCTGTATGTGGAATATTTTTTGTTATTTTGACGAAGATGGCCTGCATGGAAACTTGAAAATTGAGCGAATAATTTTGCCGGATATAAGGTTGCCTAAGTATGAACTGAAAGTATTTCACGTGTAAAAGCAATCCATCCGTATCACTTGCAGCAAACGAAGAAGAAACTTGACGATGTCACGAAGAAACTTGGAGCTCTTTATGATAAACTTAGAGAGCAGAAGGTTTGTTATTTTTGTGTTGATATTGCGAATTATTATATACCACTTGTCAAAGTTTGGTGTTCGTAGCATTTCATTGGTCGAGACCGAATCACGCGAGAGTGACGAAGTGCCAGCGCGACCCCCAGAGTGAGAGTGAGATATCGTGTTATCTCATGGGAAATAACAACTTTCATTGCGGCGCACCTGGACGTGCGACCTTTAGACTGTTTGTCCATTTGAAATTATGTCTTTTATGAATAGATATTTCGTTCGTTTACCTTATAGTTTGGTTTTCCTTTGACAAGTGGTATATAATAAAAGACTTATTTACTGCGAACTTGACCATCGATATTTCAACAGGCCTCGGGTCCACAAAACATAATGTTTCCTTCGTTCGCAGTAAATAAGTGCTAATTATTATCCACTACTGTCCCTGCGTCCAGTTCTAGTCGCTTCCTTTACTACCACAAGCTCTGTGTTTTCCACTGTCCTCTATAGCTACTATTTTTATTCATACTGCCATGAATTATGAAATAAAAAAAATTTCTTTTCGTTCTAGCTTTCACCTTCAATTTTGGATGGTTTACATAAAATAGCCCAAGGTTTGTACTATTTAAAAATAATGATGCACAAAACTTCATTTGTCGTTAGGCACGTTTTGAAGGGGTTCTCAAGCGCTTTTTGAAATCTTAAAAATACTTACGCACATACACGAGAAACTTTATTATTGCCTGTTGATTTTGTAGATGAAAAAAATGTCTGGATTTTAGGTGAAGAGTGCAATCTCGTTCAAATTGAGTACTACAGTTGTGCTACAGCGTAATTTTAAATGTTATTGCAGTTGTCTTAGTTAATCAACATGAAGAATTTTTTTCATTTAAATCAATTTCGTGAACTACGTTAGTTATAGTTTCGCAGAATATCTAAAGCTTGAATTTTAATCGTTGATTTTATTTCTTTAGCTTGCCAAGCAGCAGATTATGCCAATGGTTATCAAGCATATACAAATTTAATATCCAGTGGCAGTTTTTCAGAGATCAGCACGTTTATGCCTGGAATTAAAACTTTAATGCAGGTCGCCACACAATTGAGAGTGTGAACGTTAGGTCATTAAAAATTTATTTGAATTACTGAAGATATTTTATTATACTGGAAGCTAACTTAGGTATAACGAATACATGCAATGGCTAATAAATGTCACTTTACATATGAAAAACTGTTAAAGTTTTAAAAAGTTTTTTGAGCGCGTGTTATTGACGTAAAAGATTTAAGGCCCACACAAACTGGACGCGATTTGCTAACGCGACGTGAATGTTCCATTTGCAGAAGCAAATAAATTCAATTCTAAAAGAACATTTTGAGAGATATGGGTACAAGACAAGTCAAAGTGCACTATTAAGCGGTAGTTCTTAAGAATATCATAACATTGTCAAAATTAACGGCTTTTGAAAACTGAAAAATCCGTATAAAAATCGCCATCGCGTTGGCAGATCGCGTCCGTTCGTTAGCGTAACATCACTGCGCATGCACCAAGAACTATTTCCCTCAATTCCCTGAATAATCTGGTTTGATTCACAAATCTCATAATGACGTCAAACGCGGAGCTAACAAAACCTCTTGTGCCGTTTTTTACATCGCGTTCTGAGAAAGGTATATTACATTTACTTCTCTACTCACGCTCTACTCAGTGTTCTGGCGTCCGTAAAGGCCCAGATTCGCGAAGTTTGCAATCATCAACATACGGACCCAATCTCGTAACCTGAACCCACGATGGTGTGCCAATAAATTGTGTGTTGTGTAAACAGGGCTAAAATATATAAAGTTAGTAGAATTGTAAAGGTCGATATTACTATGCTATAGAGGTTTTAAAGGGTCTTATTTTCGAGTGGAATTATACACTTCAAATTCAAGTCAGGAACAGTTCATTGACAAATCGCATAATTGGCTATAGTAAAACCATTTGATTCTTGTTGGCATTCATGTTATAGAAAAATGTTTGTATTTTGTTTCTGCTGATAGTTATATTACAGGTTTTTAGTTAGTTTTACATTGATTGGAACACCCATAATTTTATTACTATAGCATAGTAAGGGTAAATCGGCACTTCACTCAATGCACGTAGGCGTAGCCTCTGGTGGTCTCAAAGGGTCTTAATTTCGAGTGGAATTATACACACTTCAAATTCAAGCCAGGAACAAGTTCATCAAGTTGATGGACCCATATAGGTCAACTGTAGGTCCTCAGGCAAGAATCGAACGCTTTTGCGACGCCGGTCCAATGCTCTTGCCACTGAGCTACAGAGGTAGTTGACAAGAGCAAGCGTGGTTAATTTGTGCATATGATGGATTAGCCGGGTATAGATGAGGGTAAATCAATTATGATTTTTGGCACTTCACTCGATGCACGTAAATTCTAGAGGTTTTAAAGGGTCTTAGTTTCGAGTGGAATTATACACAACTCAAATTCAAGCCAGGAACAGGAATTTACGTGCATCGAGTGAAGTGCCAAAAATCATAATTGATTTACCCTCATCTATACCCGGCTAACCATCATATGCACAAATTAACCACGCTTGCTCTTGTCAACTACCTCTGTAGCTCAGTTGCAAGAGCATTGCACCGGCATCGTTGGGAGTATTGGGACACTTTTCCAAATTGGACACACACACTGCGAGGACGAAGCACGCGTTTTTAAGATCACATGCAGGGCACCCTGGCATATTAGCGAGTTTAAGATTCACCAAATCTACGACGCGGACGTGAAACAAAAATGCTCTAATTTCCACAGTTTCCCGACGGGAATGAAAATTATAGACACCTTTTCATAATTTGGGACCATGTTCGAACTGTCCGGTTTCCTCATGTGAACACGTACAACCACTCAAATTTCTACCCCTTTTTACCGTGTAAATTCGCCCAGTCCCGTGTGAACGTAGCTAGCCTTTATGTGAGAAGGTACCGACTTATACGAGAAAATGGAGCCTCACCCAGTAGCCTCACCACGAACCTTAGCTTCGCGAAAAGACCTGGGTATGAACTCATTACAAATTCTTACTTCATTCATAGACACGGAAACTACAATCAACAATACAGTAATTTCGTTCGATTTAAAGAAAACTTGTGAATTTAAAGTGTTACAAAATGCCGATTTATTATAGCCTAATCGCTCGAGATACGACAGTATTAGTCGATCACTCAGAAAACACAGGAAATTTCCCACAGATCGCTCAAACTATACTCGCAAAAGTACCGAGAGAAGATACAAAATGCACTTATATTTCTGGAAGGTTTGTGTTTATACATATTCGTTTATACTTTATATTGAACATGCTTTATATTCGGTGATTGTTAGTTTGTATAATATTTTACAATAACACATTTTATATGCTCTGTAGTGTATTCTTTATGTGTTCTAACACACGCAATTTTGCCTATAATTAATAAAAAGATGACTGATGACAACTGTTTACTAGTAATTTAAGAGGTTTTAGGTTTTATAATTACTATTTTATATCTCACATTTTTACCGTTTTATAATTACGTACGGTTTTATTTTGTGTAGCGTTTGTTAACTTATTATTTGTATATTGGCTAATGAAAAATGTGAGTTTAACTCAAAACCTGAAATAACGCCTTAGGGTCACACACGTAACATATTTGCTGTTTATAAATATCTTCAGGCTTCATATATTGTGTGTTACAAAAATAGAATAGCAGCGTCATGTGTGTGACCAGAGAATCATCCCTTACTGTTTCATAATGTAAATATGACTCAGTATTTTAACACTTCCCATTATCATTCTTTTGGAAACGTGGGTGCAATATACTGTATGTAGTGCATAATTTAATATTGTCTACATAGTTATGCACCTTAGGATATGCCCAGGATATTTGACTCCTTTCCTTCCTGAAGTGACTTGAGCATAATTAATTAATTTAGGTATAACAGCTATAAATATGTTATACAATCATTCAGATATGATTCAGCACACTCTAACTAGGCATTTTAGTAGGCACATAAATTCTCTACAGCACTTGATTAATGTTTCCAGGGCCAAGGGGGAAAATTTTCATAAGGGCCGGTCGCAGCTCACAAAAATATGAATAATTTGTAGGTGGCTGCATGAAAGTGTCCCCTTCATGATCAGGGTATGTATTATTTGATCATCACATTGATCAAACCTTAGAAAGCTCAAAGGAAACAACCAACTATCTTTCTTTCGATTTTTTGGGCCAGTGAAAATCCAACTGCCCCTTTGCTCCATATGCAATCCGGCAGTGATTCCCTGTATTCCCTCATACCTGTATTTACAAATATTGCATAATGCATACATTCCTAATCTATTTATTTACCATATATTTGCCAAATGTTGCTGGTGATCCCTACAGGGCTTTATTGCCCCATTGACAGGGTACCCAAATTTATATGTTAATTAAATTTACTACACAAGTGATTTGCTGCCCTCAGAAACATCCATTATTCACCCATCTTTGTAATTATACTGGAAATACACTGGAAATACTGGAAATACACACAACTTTCTCACCTGCTTAACATGAATAAAGTTGGATGCAAGACTAAATCAAAACCACAATAATTATCTTGTAGCTCACTACATCAGGACAGTTCTCATGGGCATGCTCTCTCGGATGTTTCGAAATTTAGACTCTTGGAAATATGATTTCCCACATTTTGGGTGGAATGTTTTTCTATGCAGCTGGCAATAAATGAGGTCTTGAATTTTATAAAAAGAATCAAATTTGGAGGCGGAAATTGCCTGAAATCAGTTACGTTCTATTGGCTGTATATTCTCTTTGAGAAGACTTTTTCGAATTAGTAGTTAATTATTAAATTACTTTAACATATTTATAGCATTGTCCTTAATTTATGTATACTTGTATCAGTTTTATGTTCAACTCTGGGTCTTCTCTTAGGTAGTAGAAGGGCTAAAAGAATCCAGCTGCCAATACTAAAATTGTACTATCCTCTATTATATGTACTGTCCCTTTTACAGTATTCTTATTCTTACTCCCAACTATGAATACAATTTACACTACACAGCAAACACAGCAATTCGCGCTACAAACATTTAACGTTGATCAATGCTTACGTTTAGCTACCATTTTCATGTCATGACTGAAGAGAGTTTGGTGTATATATGTATGACAGATGAAGAAATGGGTAAAAGAGTTCCTTACATGTTCTTAGATGAGGTAACTGATGTTATATGTGGTAACTGTGGTAAAGGGTGTATAAAAAATAGGTTATCCAACTTCAACACGCTATATTGTACGTGAACTACTCAGTTTATGAACGAAATTTTAGCACAAAATGTTAGTCACAATCGCATATTTTCACCTTTCAGCCTAATTAAAGCAGTGCATAACAAAAGATAAAAACAATGAATCACGAACATGTCACACAAATAATGCAATTATTTACATTTACACTTTTTAAAAAGAGATTACGCGCCGATGCCTTCAACTTGTCCACCATCTCTATCGATACAAAGTTGACATCACCGCCGCATTGCTTGGAATCTTCTCGTGATGTGATTTATTCCTACTAATACGCATATGCGGGTAGTTTATTCAGAAGCAAAATTCTACATTTAAGTCCCAAAGGGAGTTAATTTTCAATGGTTTTAGTCCCAACTCTCAGAGGTGAAAATATGTGATTTTGACTAACATTTTTTATCAGCCTCCTATTTGCTCATTTTTTCACCATTTGGTATTTAAAAAAACATGTCATTTGATAGTTAAAGGCCTAACCTTTCCGAATGTGAAAAAAATTCGTTAATAGAATGAGTAGTTCACGCACAATAGCGCACCAAAGTTGGATTACCTTTTTTTTATACCTGTAGATGCTTTGTATTTTAAATGCGATTGGTTCATTCGTAGTCACATGACTTTAAATAAATGCAAGGGAAACAAGTGAAAAATTGTTGCCCGCTTCTTGTCATAACAAAGTAAAGTGGGTTTCTTTTTTTAAAAAAATTGTTGTATAACACGTATGTTTTTGTTCCTATATAACAAAACACTTAATATACCCTACCTGGGGAAATAGTAAGTTTTGTTTTGCAGACTCTTCATGCTGACTTTTGGGAAAACAAAACTCACTATTTCCCTCGGGACGTACATTAAGTGTATATTGTTTTGCGCTGTAGCGTAGATTAAAGGAAGATATTCTCTTTCTACGTTGATGGCAAT